TCATGATTATAAAAGCTGGGATATATACCTATATGACCCCAGTTTCGGAGGATATTTCTGATCATTCTTCTTCTTCTTTTTTGGCGCTGTAACCGCCTAAGCGATTTTGGCCGAGTTCAGCAAAGCACGCCAGTCGTTTCTCCTCTGTGCCAACTAGTGACCTGCGTAAAGCCCAGAATTGATTCAACAGAAAACTTATGGAATTGTTTGAAAATGCCACTGTTCAATTGGGAAGATTCGCCCAATCGCATGCAAGACCTTGGTCATGGCGTTGTGGAAAACCGGTGCGCGTTCTCAGTAGATTTCATCTAAAACCTGTGCGAAAGTATCCCGAGAGGACCATAAAAGCTAAAATATTCAAATTGGTTATGGCCAATTTATTAAAAAGTCAAGCAAATGGTAAAATTTTCTGTCAGTTGCAAAACTGGAACAATCTAGTTGCTACGTTTTTTTGCAATGTTCTTCTTTATCTGCTTGTATTAATTATTGTTTTTTATGGCCTTCTGATGAAATAAACATTGGAAATGTGAATTCCGAAACTAGATTACAAAAAAGTCTTCATATATTGCGAATATATCGCAAGAAAATTCACATTATGTATTACTCTTCCGGTTTTGCTCCTCAGTGTATATGTATAAATGATGCAAGCGTGCTTCGCGTAACTACATCCATTCGTACATATGTACGTATAGATATATTTATGATGAAGCAAACGGGCTTCGTTGGGCATATGTACATATGTACTTATGGACAGCAATGTTTTCATGTATGTACATATGTTTGAATGGTTGTATATCGTCGTTTAAAGTACAAAACCGCGTATCGTCATTCTGCAAAACCGCGTAACTGACATTGGCAGCCAAAAATTGGATTTGCTCGCACAAGCTCTTGGCTCAATCCTTGTCCATTCGTCCTGAAATATACTAGCGAGAAATGCGATTTCTTTATAAAAAAGAGAACCATTTTGAAATATGAGTGTTTTTACTCTCTAAAAAATAATTTATGCAACCTCACATACGCGGTTTTGCATTTTGTTGATACGCGGTTTTGTACTTTAAATGACGATATATACCCTGCAAAAATTTGAGGACCAGGTGGTCCATTGGGCCGTGGTTTTAAAGTATGTGCAAAAGGACCAGGTTGCATACCAGTAACTTGTTATGCTAACCTGGACCACTTCAAACGTAAAAAACTGATAAATGTGTTGAACACCACATCTTCGCGGCCGATCGGCAATACGATTCGGTTGCCGAGTGTGCCATAGTCCAAAAGGAGTAGGTGCCTAGGTGGTCCCATGTTATGCAGTGGTGGACCAGGACTTGTCCCATGTTATGCAGCGTTGGACCAGAGGTGGTCATGTCCAATGACATCGCATTGTTAATGTTACCATATTTTCTCCATATATTTGGAACATTTTGGTTACTAGTGTTGGTTACAAGGTATCGTGGTCCCGTACTAGTATTTAACCTAGTCCTACTTTTTGCAGGGTATTTTTATGTATGTACGTATGTTTATGTACATTAGGGCGGGTCGAAAATCTAATTTTTCTCAAATCCCTTGGTAATAGTGAAAATATATTGTATCATGAAGTGAACAAGAAGCCTGCAAAATATTAGTCTTTTATTTTAATTGTAAGAGCCCGCGCATCGACCGCCAAGTGACCCACAGCACACTAGTCGAATAAGACCAATTCTTGTTAAAAATTCTGGGGTCAGCAAAAGATTTGGTGCATATTTTTAGATAATGAATCCGTTAACGCAAAAGATAAAGTCAAATATCATTTCTCGCAGCCCTTTAGCTTATCGTCAATCTCAAAGTTATCTTTTTTCAATAAGTTTTTAATTGTTCTCTTTATAATTGCACTGGTCTATAGTCGAACGATGTAAAGAACATCATTAATATTGCTGGCGTGCATTTAGGTCGCTGGTTCCAAATATTCTAATCCTTTTTTTTAATATTAGCTATAGTTTGCGAAATTTTGCAAATTTAGAAACAATTTCGGTAGCTCTAATAGAAAAGCCATTATTTTCCATCATCGTGGAAAAATTTTGTTTATGCAAATGAGTATGAAAATACTGAACAGGCTCAACTTCTAGAAACACTAATTAGTTTACTTATGTTTATGCATATAATATAAAAATTGTGAATATAGGAAAATAACAAACATTTTTTTTTACATTTTTTTTATTTTAAAATAATTTGTTTATAATCTGAATGATTTTCATCATATTATTATCATAAATCAGTAACAGTAAGGCTCGCCTTCAATTTGGTAATTATTACGTACCGATCGAGTAACATTTACCAAAGTTATATCGAAAAACTTAAGCGGATCTCAAGTTTTTTTCTAAAAAAATGTCTCTTCAATTGTATAAATAACCTTTAAATGAAAGAACCGGATTGCAGAAAAGTGTGCCAGGGAGAGACTTTTTTCGTTCAAGCTCAATGCAAAGCGATATTGTCCAATTGAAGAGTCCTCAAAAGGATTTCCCAGGATATGTTAAAGACTATTGCATTTATCTACAGTCACTTTCTCATATAATGGAGTTAACTAAAATATTTTTGTATATCTAAACACTTATTGCACCTCCCCCACTTTCAAATAACGGCAAATTTAGAAACCGCGAAAAATATGCTTCTTCGGTGACTAATGAAACCATTCCGCACCAATTTTCAAGACAACATAAATGGACTTAAAGTGGGCGTTTCTCACCCTAATTGTATTATGTTAATGTTTATAAATACTTATATGCTTGAAACTACTATTAACTTATCAAACGATTCCTAAACATTGACAATACATGTTTGACTTCATTCACCACGATCTTGAAAACTGACCAAATCGGCGAGACCAAGCCCATGGTCCTTTTAATATTATATAAACATCCGAAAACATTAAAACGTTTGAAATAAATCGCGTCTCACTTTTTTGTATTTTTCACTTGGTTGCTGAAGTAATGAAGAAATGAAAATTCATAAGGGAAAATTATAGTTTTATCTAAATATCTTAAAAACTTGGAGTCTTGTTGAAAAATGACAAATGAACGTGAGGTACTAAATTTAATAGCCCTTAATTTGATATATCGTCCTGTTTATAACAATTGACGCATTCCATAGATA